CACAGGTACGCACAGTATTCGCACAGGCCGAGCTCGCCGGTGGCCGAGCCAGGCCAGCGATTCCGAGATTCCCTGAGCTCGGGCCGTCAAGCCACTTTCGCCTGAGACATCCTCGCAACTCTCACCTCCTCCTCCTCCTCCTCCTCCTCCTCTTCCTCCTCCTCCTCCTCCTCCTCCTCCTCCTCCTCCTCCTCCTCCTCCTCCTCCTCCTCCTCTGGCCGAGCCGAACAGGCAGGCGGGCCAGTGGCCGGGGGCGCCCGCCTCCTCCGCCCCCCCCTCCTCCCCCCCCCCCTCCACCTCCCCCCCCCCCATCCCTGCTTCTCCGGCCGAGCTGAGAAGGCGCGCGGGAGAGTATTTTATAGGCGGGCGCGCCACCGCCAGCTCACGAACCGGGCGAATAACCGCCCCCGCCAGCAGCGGGCGAGTCTAAACGCACAACAAACTCTTTCAGGAAGCCCTGGCACGCCCCAGGTTAGCTCTGCGAAGGCCAGGAGGCATTGGAGGCACAGGGGTCCCAGACAGCTCCTAGGGCATGAGCGTGCATGTGCATTGGGATGTGCACGCATGTGCGCCCGCGCGCTTCACCGCATGTGCGTGCATGTGCGGGCCCGCGCGGCCTCCCGAAGAGAGGTTGCACAGGCATGTGCGTGCATGTGCCGATGACAGATCTGCGATTCTCGAACACCTCCCGCATGTGCAGGCATGTGCGCGCATGTGCGTCGGACTGTGCGTGCATGTGCGTATGATGGATACATCAAAACACAGCGCACATGCCCCCGCACATGCCCGGGCACGACGTGCACAGTAGGAAGTCCATCCAAGAAGGACCGCACAGGCCTGGCACATGACTGGCACATGCCGCGCACATGCGCGCACATGACAGCGCAAAAACGGCCGCACATACACCCACCCAGGGGTATAGATGTGAGTGCGGTGTATCCATTTCTCAACCACTCGCGCTGTCACCCACTGACTCACTCACTCACTGACGCTCTCTCTCCCTCTCCCTCTCTCACTGGCTTCCCACTCCGTCCCCTTGTTTCTACCTCCTCCACTCAGCCGCCTGTCACTATCATTCCTGACTCCTCCCTTCGCCCTGCTCCCAGGCCAGCTCAATCGAGCCCGCGGACACCGTCAACTGAAGCCACACACCAAACAACGCCGCAGTCCAGGTCCCCCGGCCTCGCAATCCCGCGTGATCGTGCCGTCGAAACCGTTTTGCTTTCGGCGACCGCAGGCGCCATGCCGTGCATACTTTTGTGAACTCCAGGAATACGAGCCGACCCACACCCCAACAATTATGGTGCATCCTCCGAAAGCCCCGGTGACCACACCGTCCGGGCGAGTCGGGCGTGCTTCTCCGGGGAGGCCGAGCCCGCCTGGGGCCATGGACCCTTCTCCCCGGACGCCTCGGGCGCTTCGGGGGCCTCCACAGGCCCCCGACGCGCCGTTCGCGCCTCGGCTGCTGGGGCCTCCTCGATCTCGACGGCACCGGGCTGTGCTGGGGCCTCGCTGCGATGCCGCGCCCGAGCCGCCGAGCCTCCGAGCCTCCGTCCTGAGCCAAACGCGGTTCTTGCTCCTCTTTCGGCTCGACGCCCCGCCGGCAGAACGCCTTCGCGCACCACCTCCCCCCCTGTTTCGGGTCGGGCGAAAGGGGGAGATAGCAAAGGGGGGGGGTTGAGAATCAGCTCACGTAGCTGATTTTCCCGGCGCCTCCCTGCGCCGGAGGCGGCTATGTATCGAGGAATGGGCCCATCGATGGGGCCGAAACCAGCTGCATGCAGCAAATTTCGTAACCCCCCCTTTCCCAATCCCCCCCTTTCGTCCGGCCCGACTGTTCCCTGCCCCCCCCCTCCCCCCCGAGCTGCCACCGCGGGGTGGGCGAACGCGCCAACGGAAGACTGCGCCGTCGCCCTCCCCCGCCCCTCCCCCAAATGAGGCGAAGCCAGGATACAATCAGCGGCCTGACCTAAGGAACGATGAATAAGGAACGAAGCCCCAAATGTTCCCAAGGAATAACGCACAAGGAACGACAAATAATGAATGACGCCTAAAGAACGATGATAACGCAAGCAAACCTAAGGAACGATCGAGCCCCTTTTGAATAGCAAGTGTTCCTTATTCGAGCCGCTCACTGTAGAGACACAACGTCGGGCAAACATCTGCCACCGTGCCTCCTGGCACGCTGGGGCGTGGTATGGTGCCACGGGCTCTTTGGCCGGGTCTCTGTCTTCTTCTGAGGGCTCCCTCCTCTCTCGTCGCCGAGGGTTGCATGCCCCGCCCCCGTCTCCAGAGGCCACGATGCCTTGTTCTTTGACGCAAAACGCTGGGCCCGCACGTGCGAGACCGAGACCCCGTCAACAAAAAGATGCATCCGCGATCAAGACCTTCCAAGATGGGCCGAGGCAGACACTCGAAGCAGCCAGCATGGCCCAAAACGCCTCCACGACGGCCCACGACGGCCCCAAGGTGGCCCAGCATGAGCGCAGTACGGACGCAAATGACTTCAAGAGGGACACAAGAGGACCGCCAACCAGGTCCTGAGAGGTCCCACTCCCGCCCTTTCGAGCAACAGTCAGCTCGAGAGGGCCCAGGAAGCCTCCACAACAGCCGCAGGACAGCCCGAGAGGCCCCAAGCCCCGAGAGGGTCCTAGGAAGACCCAGGGGGCCCCCAAGAGGGTACCAGCACGAAGAGGACCCCATGACGGCCTCAAAGACGGCCTCCAGAGGGACCCAGGAACGACGGCAAGGCGGCCCCCAAACACCGCCCACTCAGCAAACAGGGCCCCGAGACGGCCCAATAGAGCCCCGAGGCGGCCAAAATGAGATGCACGGGAGCCCCATCGAGAAGTGAAGCCGAAAGGTGACACCGGTGACGGCCTTCCTCTTCTTCATCCTCCTCCTCCTCCTCCTTTCCCTCCTCCTCTTCCTCCTCGTCTTCCTCCTCCTCCTCCTCCTCCTCCTCCTCCTCGTGCATCCCTCCCACACCGTCCAGCGGCGGGAGCGGTTCCGCATGAGTTTCTGCACCACCTGTGGCAAGTATGCCACGGTGGACGGGCGCCACCTTGCGGCGAAATGCGCAGGCATCTCCCGCAAGGGCCGCGAGAATTTAAATCGCATCGTGGAGGGCAAGTACCCCCGCAGAGATGGAGTGCCGAAGGCCCTGCAGGCTGCCCTCGATACGCGAGATCTCGGCGGCCTGGCGAGAATGTACGCGAGGGCTGCTGTGCCCGAGGGAGGGGACGGCGGACCGTCCGCCGCTGCTGGGTAGTTGGCCCTCCTGTGGAGGGCTAACTGGCCAGTAGGGGTTGCGGTGGTGTGGCGTGGAGGCGGGCTTCCGCCTGCACCAAAGCACCCCCGTTCGGGGTTCTGCCTTCCTCTCCCGCTTCCCTCCCCCCCGCCGCACGACCCTGTGCTTGGTCAAGAGGTCCAAGAGGTCCTTTTCCCTTCAGTCTGTCCGTCGTGCTTTCCTTCCTTCGCGCGCCTCGGACCGGTCGCACGCCATAGCGTCGCCAGCGTGCGGCCCTCCCCGCGGCCGGGGGCGTGCTGGTGGCGTGGCGCCTGGGCGCCCCGGGGCTGGTGGCCACCCCAGACGGCCCTCGAGGGAGACGCCGTCGGTGCGGCTTGCGCGGCCACGCCGGCGGCCCGCCAACACTTCTCCTCCTCCTCCTCCTCCGCCTCCTCCTCCCTGCTCCTCCTCCGCCTCCTCCTCCCTGCTCCTCCTCCTCCTCCTCCTCGTCCTCCTCCTCCTCCTCCTCCTCCTCCTCGTCCTCCTCGTCCCCCTCCTTCTCGTCCTCCTCCTCGTCCTTCTACTCCTCCATTCCTTCTCCTTGTAGATACATCCTCCCAGTCGCACCCCGAGGCCAATTTTTAGGGCGGGCCGGGCGAGTCGCCGGAGACTTCCGCACAATTTATGACTCCGAAGCTTCAAAAATGGCAACAGCTTCACAGATGGAGGGAGGGTCGCTTTCAATGTCGTTCTCGCCTTAGCGCCGCGCACATTCGTTTTAGAAATTTGCAAGAGCTTCAAGGATTGAGGACGGGTCGCTGTCAACATGTGGCTCTCGCCTTAGCGCCGCGCACATTCCTTCTTAAAAATTGTCAAAGTTTCACAAATTGAGGGCGGGTGGTTTTCAAAATGTCTTTCTCGCCTTAGCGCCGCGCACATTCGTTTTTTTAGATTTGCAAGAGTTCCACGGATTGGGGGTGGGTGGTTAAAACAATTGCCCTCGCTTTAGCGCCGCGCACATTCCTTTAAACAAATTGCAAGGGTTTCGCGGATCGAGGGCGGTTCCTTTTCAAAATGTAGCTGTCGCCTTAGCGCCGCGCAAATTCGTTTATTTTAATGTGCAAGGGTTCACGGATTAGCAGGATCAACGCACCAGAAATTGTTTTTTGGAAGGGTTCTGGATTACGCGGGCGCAACAATTATGATGTTTCGCTGTGTTGAAATCCCAAAATGGCGTTCTGGCACGATTCTGGATCGCCAAGACGCAGCAGTCAGGTTGATACGTGGCGTTGGAAGCCCAGGAACAATGTTTTGGCACGCTTCAGGATCTTCAAACTGGTTTTCCAACGAGGCAGTTCCCTCCATGGAAATGAACCGTTGTAGGGGCCTGTGAAGACGGAGCTTCGAGGGAGGGTTAATTCTAACATCGTTGATGACCCTTGGGTTTCCACTGGTCCGCCTCTTCCTCCTCCTCCTCCTCCTCCTCCTCCTCCTCCTCCTCCTCCTCCTCCTCCTCCTCCTCCTCTTCCTCCTCCTCCGCCCTCCCCCTCCCCCTCCCCCTGCCCCTCCCCTCCCCCTCCCCCTCCCCTGCCTCCTCCTCCTCCTCCTCCTCCTCCTTCCCCTCCTCCTTCCTCCCTCCCGCCCTCCTCCTCCTCCGCCCTCCTCCTCTCCTCCTCCTCCCTCCTCCTCCTCCTCCTCCTCCTCCGCCCTCCCCCTCCGCCCTCCCCCTCCGTCCCTCCCCCCGCCCAAAGCGCGGAGGGGCCCGCCGCTCCCGCTGCGCCCGCTGCCTCTCGGCCTCGGCCTGCTGCAGGCGCTCCTGGGGGCCCCACGGAGGACGGGCCGGTTGGGGGGGGGGAGGAGGCCCAGGGTCGCGGCGCGGGCGCCGCGCGGAGCGGCAACGCGCACGTGAGCGTGTTCTCGTTCGGCGTTTCGACATCTGGGCATCGCTCGGACGTCCATTCCCTGTGTTTTTTTTCGGTTTCGTGCGTCGTTTCTTCGCCAAAAGATCAAGGATGCTCCTCGATGGCCCTCGCCGAGAAGAGATGCACACGTCCGAGCGATGCCAGGACATTGGGCGGAAGGGGGGGGGGAGGCCCGCGGCGCGGCGCGGGCGGGCGCTGGTGCTCAGGCTCAGGCCGAGGCTCCGGCCCGGCTCGGGCAACGCACAGGCCGAAGCCTAGGCTGAGGCTGGGGCCGAGGCTTCGGCCAGGCCGAGGCTAGGCTGGGGCAGAGGCTGAGGCTAGGCTGGGGCAGAGGCTGAGGCTAGGCTCAGGCCGAGGCTGAGGTTTGTGATTAGGCTAGGTTTCGGCAGAGCGCATGTAAGCGTGTTCTTATTCCGCGTTTCGACATCGGGCGGAAGGGGGGGGGAGGAGGGGGGCGTCTGGCGCCGGACCTCTGCTTCATGCGACTGTTTGCAGCAGTGCGTCCTATGGGGAAGAGACTCCACCTGCTCGAAACAGACGCCAAAAACAGCCAAGATCCGCTCCATAGGGGGGAGGGGGAGGAGGGGGGCGAGGGCCCGCGCCGATCGGCAAAACAATGAATAAGAAAACTATCACCATTCATTGAGAAGGGAATCGACCACAGAAATAATGTACCCCAAGATTTCTTTGCCAGTCGAACAGGGACCGAGCGACTCTAGGCCTGCCACGGGAGGTTCTTGGAGCACAACCCCGGCGTGTTGAAACAAGAGGCAGTCTCGGCCAGACCCGTTCTAAGAGCATCTCGTGCAGGCCACAAGAGGTTCTCAGAACATCCTCAAGTGGGCCGAGAGGCAAGCAAGGACGCTTCGCCACTGCTTGATTCAGCGTCAAGATTTAGGAGAGCTCGGAATCGACTCGCTTCTCCCTCCCCTTCCTGCTCATACTGCTCTTACTGCTGGTTCTTCTCCTTCGGCATCCCATCTGCGATAGGTGCACTCGGCCAAGCTGGTGCCTTTGCAGAGGCCTTGCCCTCCAGTGGCAAGTTGGCTGCAATTATATTCGGCCGTGCTTTGAGATGTCATGGTTCCTGTGTCTTGACGCCTGGATCTATCTGTGCTCGGGACAGTCGACTCGATACATCGAATCGGCGATCGAAGCGACCTGGACCGGCGGAGATCGGCAGCCAGGTCGGGAGGAATCGGCTGGGCGGAAGCCTGCAGAGCAGCAGGGCCTCGGCGAGAAGGCGGCAGCAAAGGCGGAATCCGACGTCGAACCAGATCGGCACCGGCATCCATGGACATCGGATCGAATCGAACTGGGGGAATCGAAGCGAGCGCGGGGGAAAATGGGGGGGGGGGGTAGGCCTCCTCGGGAGGCGGCGGGGCGTCCCGGAAGCCCTCCGGCCGCGGAGGGGGCGCTCAGAAGGGGCGGGGGGGTGGCCGTGGCGCATCCGCGGGGGTGGCGGGGGGGGTATAGGGGTGCCTCGACGTGTGCCGGGGGGTATCGGGAGGGAGGTGGAGGGAGGGGGGGGAGGCGAGGGCACGCGGGTGGGGGGGAGGAGGGTGGGGATCAAGCGTCTCCAGGGCTGGCATGCAGGAAGGGGGGGCGATTCGCGAGGAAGAGAGCCACCCCTGCACAGGTCCTTTTCACCAGGATCTCGAGGGGAATATCCAGCAGCGGCGACGAGGACGCCCCAGGAGGCCCGAGAGCCAGGCGGCAAAGCTATGGACAGGACTCGGTCCCCGAGCCTCGAAGAGGCAGGGCGCGCTCCTCCTCCCGCTGGCGGAAGTCCCTCTCCATCGCGGCCTGGAGGTTCTCGTCCTTGCGCTGCTGCTCGAGCTTCCTCTTGGCCTCCCGGCGGCGCTGCTCGACCTCCTTCTTGTGCTTGCTCGCGAGGTCGAAGTCCATGGCTGTGCGAGGGGGCGTAGGATCGATCGAGCGAGCTCTCGAGCCAGTTCGGAGCTGCTCTATCTCGACTGGAGTCACTAGATTGAGCAGGGAACGACCGTCCCGGAATTCATATAGTCATACCACGAAATGTTCTTAGAACCCAGAGAACAGAACAATGTTCTTAGAACATTAACCCGATGTGATAGAGCAAGACAGACTCCGCCAGACATGTTCTAAGAACATGTCGTGGGAACCACAAAAGGTTCTTAGAGCATTGTTTGGTAGGACTATATGCACCACAAAGGTTCTTAGAACATTGTTTGGTAGGACTATAGGCGAGCCAGGACGCTTCGCCACTGCTTGACTAGAGCACCGTTGCAATTAAACACCTAGTTTGGCCAGGCCGTGGTCTGTTCGTTGAAGAGGGTCGCGGGTGCTATTCGGCGCTCAGGCCCTACCTAGGGGCATGTGATGAGGAGGACAAGGAGGAGGAGGAGGAAAAGGAGGGAAAGGAGGATGATGAGAAAGGAGGGGAAGAGGAGGAGGAGGAGGCTAGGAGGGGAGGGGCTAAGAGGTCAGGAGAGGAAGAACGACCTCGGGGCCCTCACCAGGCCACGGGAGCGTAAAACTTGTACGTCGCAGCACAACAGAGGCGATCCGCACGGGCGCTCGGGTTGTCGGGGACAACGGGAGCGTACAGTCGGACTTCATTGGACAGGACACGCGAGAGGACACAAAATCCATCCGAGGGCCACATTGCCGCAGGAATGCAGGAGAAACGGGTCGCGAGGCACAAGACACAAAGGTACCCTTGATTTGGCAAGGTCGATCTACTAATCCGGGCCGATTGTAAAACAACGATCCGGAATGAAAAGCCCGTCCCAGGGAAGGGGACTGGCCTTCCAGAGGTTCACGCTGTGAGCACAATCACGTCGTTGGAGAGCTGGAGAGGAGGATGACGAAAACAGGAACGACCAATGCCGACATCGAGGGCGAACCAAACAGCATCCGAACGTGCCGCGTGGAGGTGGGTCTCATTCAGGAACACTGGATGTAGCGTGATAACTGTGACATTGGCTCAGTCAAACACTGAGGCACATAGAGAGGGTGTGGATCAGGCCTACGGCGATGCGTCCCCTGGAAATCTCCCGGTGAACCTGTAGATGTTGGAACGTGCCGATTCCAGGGCGAGGGACAGGGAGCGAGAGACATGGAGGGGGTGTGAGAGAGGGAGGAGAGCCCAGAATCGAATCGACAAGTCGGATCGGCGATCGAAATGAATCGGATCGGCGGAAATCGGCAGCCGAGTCGGGAAAAGTCGAATCGGCGGAAATCGGCCGCCTAGTAGGCCTTCGTTAGGAAATCTGAGCCAAAATCGGAATCCGAAATCGGATCGAATCGGAATCGGAAATCATCGAAATCGAATCGAATCGAATCGGAGGAATCGAAATTAGCCCTGGAGAGGGAAGGGATAAAGGATAAAGGGGCAGAAGGATGATGACCGGTGGGGCAAAGGCGGACACAGATCAGAACGGGCAGGGTCGTCACGATGCCTGCGCAGCGGCACGGGAGGAGATGCGCACGCGGGCACGCCCGACGGTGTGCACGGTATGGGGCAGAGCAGGCACCACGGGGAGGGTGCAGGCATTAATTGAAGGGGGCCCAGGACACACAAATAAATACACAGAAATGAAAATATGCCCCATATTTTCTTATATTTTCTGGGTTTCTGTCTTCCCCCCCACTTCCCATATTTTCCCATATTTTCTGGGGAATCGACGATTAATTGTGTCTGTGTGTTTCTTTTCCTCTTGATTAATGAAGGCTGGAAGGCGGAGGAGAGGGACGTGCGCGTCGTGCATGTTTTGATCGTGCTCATTGCGAATAGTGCTCGCTTCTACTTGTTCCTGGCCCCCTGGTGGCCAGGAAGAGGCCCAGGATAGAACGATGAGAGGTGAGAGGATCGTGCCCCCCCCCCCCCCCCACACACAGATCAAATAACTTCCGAACAACTACAAACGAACAATGTGTATATATATGTATATATACGTATATACATATAGCGAGAGAGAAAGAGAAAGAGAAAGAGAGAGAGAGAGAGAGCACAGGCCCCTGCCCAGCTGGGCCGGAGAATCGGGGCCAAGAGCAAGGGCAACGAAGCGGAGGCGACGGATGAGTACTGCACAAGCATGACGGGGCCCGAGCAGGCAGGGCACCAAAGAAGCACGAGAGGTGTCGGACGGGAGCGTTCAGTGAGGGGAGTGAGAGAACGGCGCAACATCCTGGGATCGAGGGAGAGACAGAAAGCGTGCGCTTCCAGTGATGCAGAAAGCTTGGAGGTGACAGCTTCAGCACGCACTTGATCAGATCGCTCACAAGAGGAAACACTGAGATGGACGCACGAGCTAGATGGCTCAGCAGAAACTTGGAGCCTCGCACAAATTGTGGACGGAACGAATTGTGTGGGAAAACATCTTGAGCCGAAGGTGGCGGGCATACGTCCCCGCCTTGGCCACGTACCGTCAAAACGCCCGCCTTCCCGAGCGCGCCCCTCTGAATCTCTCTGCCCCACCTTCCGACATCGTCCAGGAAGAGATCTGACCCCTCCCCACCACCACACCGAGCTGTCAGCCTGTCGCTCAACTGCTGACTTGCTAATCCCGCTGACCCGCCTCGGTTCAATCCAAGCCCGGGTCAGTCGGGCCTCGCAGGATCCTGCAGGATCCTGCAATATCCTACAGGATCCTGCAGGATCCTGCGCCCAAGCCCGGGCCCGGGTCAAGGCGCCCCTGGCCCCGCAGGATCCTGCCAGACCCGGCGCTCGGACTGACCCCCGTTTGCATGGACCCCCGTCTCCGAAGGCACCCGACGCCTGCCTCTTCGCTCACGCCTGGCCTCTCATCTCCCTGGACCTCCCACGACATCGTCGCGCCTCCAGCTCGTGGGCCCCGGAGCCCCCTCGGCCCCGTCCCTGGAGGCGGCCCTCCCGCACGCGGGGCGTGCGTCTCGAGGGTCCGAGGGTGCGGCGCTGGGCCCCGGAGAGGCTCGGGGGCCCCCGAACGGGGTGGTGACCACACCGTGTGGTGAGTCGATGGGGATTCGGGGTCACCGCACGGTTCTGGGACTCAGGTCGTTCTCCGAGGATGTCTCGGGCGACTGGAGCCTCCAGGGTCCCAAGACCGTGTGGTGACGGACCGTGCGGTGAGGTCTTTGCGGGTTTCGAGGTCACCGCCGGGTCTGTCACCGCACGGTTTGGGGTCCCCCAGGAGGCATCCCCTCGAAGAAGGAAAAGCGCCACAAACATCAAGGCTAAGTGTCGGCGCTCTGCGCGGATTCCCGGGATTCGCGCTTGGCCCCCCTGGCGGCGCCTCCAGCGCCGCCCCCGTGTCCCTTCCATCCGTCCACTCTTTCCCTGCCAGAGGGTCTGCGCGATATATTCACGTTACAAATAAGAAAAACGGATAGACATATACCCCACAGGGAGTACGCGCGAAGACAAAAGGGGGAAAACATCGTGGGTTCGGGATCTACGTGTTGAGTGGCCCGCGAGCAGGTAACAGCAAACAACCGATGAATGAGTGTTGTTGTTGATGGTGTTGCTGTTGTTGTTGTTGTTGCTGCTGCTGCTGTTGTTGTTGTGGAACTCTCTCTCACTACGGAAGAAAAACATGGTTGTTCCCCCCTCCACTTACCGTTGTTTTTTCAATGGATGTGCTTCCCCCAGGGGTCGCACCCGATTTTTTGTTTTATCCGGGAAACACATAAATCCCAAACTGTGTCGTTGGCCACCGGTTTACAAAAACAACAACAACCACAACAGCTCCCGCCTGATACTTCCTCACAATTGATTCCCAAGTCGCGCTCTCGTGCGGGACTGCCTCATAATTGTTATACGAATCGCGCTCCCGCGTGGGACCTTCTCGCAGCTTATTCAGACGATGCACCCTCGGCGCTCAGGAATCACGCTCTCGCTTTGGCTTGTCTCACGATTTACTTGGGAATCGCGCTATCGCTCGAAACTTCCTCGCGATTCATGCAGGACTCACGCTTCAGCAACCCGCCTGCTCGACCTGGTCGCCTGGGCCCGCCTTCCCGACCTGCCCGTTAGGGTCTGCCAACCCGAAATGCCTGTCTGGTTATACCAGTTGTTCTCTGCTCCTTGCCCCCTCCTGCCAATTTCTCTCGTGCTCTATTCGTCTCCCTCCCCCATCCACCGTCTTCTCTTGCTTTTTACCTAACAGCGAAGCCTGATAGGTTTCTAGTAGGGTCAAAAGAGACCATCATGACGCCCCAGGGGGGTCTGGGCGCGATCCGGGGGATGCCGGGGACTCCTTTTTAGCAAAGAGTAACGCACTTCGTGGTCTTCGAGTTCCCAGAACTCCATTCCTGGGCATGATTTGGAATGCCCGGAACCAACTGTAGGCCACTTCGTGTTCTTCGAGTTCCCAGAACTCCATTCCTGGGCATGATTTGGAATGCCCGGAACCAACTGTAGGCCACTTCGCGGTCTTCGAGCTCCCAGAACTCCATTCCTGGGCATGATTTTGAATGCCCGGAGCCAACTGTAGGCCACTTCGTGGTCTTCGAATTCCCAGAACTCCATTCCGGCATGATTTTGAATGCCCGGAGCCAACTGTAGGCCACTTCGTGTTCTTCAAGTTCCCAAAACTCAATTCCCGGGCCACATTTTGAATGCTGAGGCAGGCTGATGCTGAGGCTGAGGCAGGCTGAGGCTGAGGCAGGCTGAAGGCTGAGCCGAGGCTGAAGGCAGACTGAGGCTGAGGCTGAAGCAGGCTGAGGCTGAGGCTGAGGTTGAGGCTGAGGCAGGCTGAGGCTGAGGCTGAGGCAGGCTGATGTTGAGGCAGGCTGAGGCTGAGGCTGAGGCTGATGCAGGCTGAGGCTGAGGCTGAGGCTGAGGCTGAGGCCGAGGCTGAAGGCAGAGGCTGAGGCTGAGGCTGCAGGCTGAGGCTGAGGCTGAGGCTGAGGCTGAGGCTGAGGCTGAGGCAGGCTGAGGCTGA